AATAAACTTAGAATTAAATTTATTAATTAACCTAGCTTAAAATAACAATATATAATTTTGATATATATTATTAATAAATATTAAAAGTTAAGTAAACAAAAGATATTTAATAATAAAAGATAAACTAGATTAAAAATTTAATAAAAATTTTGCAAAATTCAATAAAAATTATATATAACAAAACATAAAAATAGTAAATTCTTAGTTAAATAATCTGCAAAATTAAAGTTTTATCAAATTTAAAATAGGTTTAAATAAACATAGTAAATATCATTTAAATATAATTAAACATAATATAAATTGTAAAAATATAAAGAATAAAAGTAGTATTATATATATTTTAATTTTTTAACTTTTTAATATATATAAAATAATTTGAATTGTATATGTATTAATTTATTTCTTACAGAAATTTAAAAAATACTTTAATAATTATGTTTTTATTTACTTTAAAATAGATAATTCTTTAAAAATATTAATGAAAAGTATAAAATTACTTTATTTTTAATTACATACCTTATCCTTTCAGAGATATTTATGTATTACATTACAATTTCTTTAAAGACTAAAAATAATAATACAAAACTTTTTTAAATATTAAAGATGATGGTATTTTTTTTTTTTTGCTTATGAATTAATCTTCTATCTCTTCTAACAAAGATTCTTATTTATTATAAATAAATCTACAATTATATGACTTTAAATAGGCTTTATATATAGTATTTATTACAAAAAATTACTTATTCATCAATCACACGATTCCTCTTCTAAAAATTGCAATTGATTTAGGTGATAGGACTATATAAATTTATTTTTTAAATTTTGCTGGTTGTTTTTAAGTCATGAGAAAACAAGATGATCAAAAACCTACCGAAAAACCCGACAACAGGCCTAATGACCTTTTCTTTTTTTTTTAATTTTCAAAAACAGTATAATTGTACGTATCCACATTTCATTAAATGAACCGTCTTTGGGTGTTTGGGCACTTTGCTAAGGTCTATCAAGCAAATACAAACATATCATCAAATGATGAAGAAATCGGGCATGAGATGAGTAACTTTAAATAAAATTGCAAAAATAAACTTAATGAGTTGAGAAAAAAACCATTCCTGACCGCATCTATCTTTCATTAAGGTAAGTTTATCTTGATTATTATATCATTATAATCATATTTCTAACTGATTTAAGAAGGATCATGTAAAGATCGCCGAGAAAGCCACGATTTTTTTGTTAAAATCTTCAAAAAAAAAAAAAATAATGTAAGAGAAATACCAAAAGAGGTACTTAAAAAATGTTATGTTTCTAAGACCTAAAATAATATTGTTTATTTCAAATTTTAGATAATAATTTCCCGTGAATAACAATTTCTTCAATATAAATGCGCTCTTCTTCCGAATTATTTTCCATACCATATGCATTCTTAATATTTACACAAATACTATTGTTTTTTCCAGTATATTGATCATCAATTAATGTATCTACATATAACAATTTACCTGTATACATGTTCAATAGAAAAATATTTGAATTCCATAAATTATGCTTTGATATATATGGCGAAGTCTTATTACAATTATTGTTGGTGAATTTTAGAATGAATTTTTGTGTTAGAGGATTGTATGATGAGAAATTTATACTATATGATGATTGTACTAAGAAAGGAATTCCATTATATTGCGACAATATCTAAAGACGTTAAGCATAATTAGTAAATAAATAATTAAATATACGTATTTTATTAATAATCATCATTAAAAATTTAAAAGATTGCATACCCGACATTTCAATTTATTCTCATAAAGAACTTTAATTTCATCAATAAAAACACTCGGAATAATCTGATTCCATTGCTTACACGTTGTTCTTAAGTGTAAAAATTGTTTTATACTTGGAGAAAAATAAATACATTTTAGTTAAACGAGTAAATTATCTGAATACAAATGAAAATTAAAAAAATTAATTACCTGGATTCATGAAATAACTTGGTAAAGATGTCAATTAAAAGTTCGTTAGGTAATGTGTTTGAAGACATAATATGTGATTTATTCTGTTTAATTGTTCAAAGAAAACGAAACTGAACTTTAAATCTGTCATGCATAATTTTACGTGACGGAAATACAGAAATACGTGATTTTTGATCCACAAAATCAGGGGTACTTAACATATTTAGTTAAGAAGTTGCTTTTCAAATTTTTCAAATTAAATTTTATTAATTTTATTTTATTCGTTCCTGGTCAGTTTCATGTAAAATAAACAAATAAACACGGATTAAATATTGGAATCGATTTATATATCATTTGTCAAAAAAAATTATTTGACATAATATTGTTACATTTCTTATTGTTATTCGGATTATTGCTCTGGTCAATACGTCCTCCAGCTGTCTTCCGGATAATATGTCCTTGCTGTGTTTTTTCCTGGAAGAAAATAATCGGATCAATATAGATTTTTAGTTTAGATATTTCCCTCGAATTTATTTTTCTTGAACGATAACGAAACCTGTACCTGTATAATAAATAAACAGCCAAGTTAAGATTAGACATATTTACGTTAATCAATTCTATAAATTTTCATTTCATATCGTTTATCGTTTATAAATAACAAACATATAATGTCCGAAATTACCGCGTCATTAAATTAAATAATGGAGGTGTGGGGATTTTCAATCGTGGTGTTTTGGTAATTCCATTATGCGGATCGCACGGATCGTACGCCTCAATAAGTTTAAACCTTATTCCAACAATATTTAAATTTTTTTTTACAACAATAGAAATTTTAAAATAGTTTAACCAAATATTCTTTATATAAAATTCATTTTATTGAGGAGTCTGTTTTGTAAAATTTGTCAAAGTTAAATCTGTTGCTTACAATCGTATTATTAGTCATGTTTCCACCATCACAGAATAACCATTCCTCAAGAACATATCCAATATGTCGTATTTGTCTTAGTAGTGAGGAACCAAAATCCTTGATTGCTCCTTGTAAATGTAAAGGTACATAGGAATTCATGTATTTATCTCTGGCAAAAAGAAATTAATTTTTTAAATAATTTATTATTATTATTATGCTTAAAGGGACAGTGAAATATGTTCATAAAACATGTTTAGCGCAGTGGAGAAGAAAATTGGTATCGAATGGACGACCAAAGGAATTGGACACTTGCACAATGTGTAAATTCCATTATGTCGTTAGATTGAAATCAAAAATCGGAAGTATGATAATTCGACCAGGTAATGATGAAAAAATTTTGTTTCTTTTGTTTCTTTAATTTTTTTTTTTCAAGGGATAATTCCTTTAACTAATTTTTCGTTATTAGAAATTCGATTTATTATAACTTGCATGTTAATTTTGATTATATTGTTCCCAAGCGGATATATAATGAAATTAATAATGTCATTAACATCAGAGATACATTTACAACGAGATGTTCATGGTGATGAAATAAATAATACAACATCAACCATATTATGGACATCATATCATTTTCCATTTTGCACAGCACTAGCAGCTAATCCGACGATTTCAAAAGATTATTACTCGCTCATAACTGACCTTTGGTCTAGACTGATGTGTATAGATATAATACAACATCTTCATTTAGGTTTATTTTTCCTTGGATCAACTAGTAACGTTGTTACTGCTTACTACATAATGAATGAACTTTTGAATTTATTCCATTATAATAGTGGAATCGGTAGAGCTGATGGAAAAAGCAAGGAAATTATTTTATGGGGAAGTTGTGGTGTAGTGATTCTATTCTGGTTTCATTATAGTTTATCTGCATTCCAAGTGACGACGACTCAGGTTTTTATTTTTTTATTTTATTTTTTTTTTTTAATCATGTAAAGTTTTTTATCTTTCAAACATGAAATACCAAAACAAAAAAATTTTTCCTTTTTATTTTTTTTAATAGGAATTTTTACACGAGTTGCCGTTATGGGTGTTGAGATGGATTACAATTAGCATGGCCGTATTTGATTTTGGATTAAGAAGGATTTATTGGCAATTAAATAAAGTTAATCTTGATGATGGGGAAGTTATGTCGATACAAAAAATGGATTTTAATGAAATCTAATTATTAATTTGTGGAGATATTTTGTTTCTTCTCATAAGTGCGGAAACAAGGAACTTTTTTTTTTTTTTTATTGTATATAAGTCATTATTGAACAATTTAGTTGAGCAAACTATGTATTTTAACTAAATCTTAAAGAACAATTTTCAAAATAATGTGTATTTCACTTGTCAACGTTGATTTCGTTAAAAAATGAAATCTTAAAATCCTGATATACCGGTTATATTAGTAGATTTTTTTTTTCTTTCCCTTAATTAATTTCCGCTCTCTATGGCTTTTCAATAATGGATCGTAAGCGACAGATTCCATGTTCCAGTTTATTGTTTGGTCAACATTATTGTCAGCGTTAATTAAGAAATTAAATAAAAGAAAAAAAATTTTTTTTAATACAATTTATACTGTTCATAATCTCGAGTTGTTATATACAGTAAATAATATGTTTGATAAATACTTTCACTCATCAAATTTATTTTATTTATATACAGAATTAATTAAGAATGAATGAAAGAAGAAAGAAATATTATTGAGATTTTATTCCGACAAAAATGAATGAATGAATAAAAAAAAATATATATATATTAATATAAAAAAAAAAAAAATGGCAAAACAAATTTACATATAATATCTATATAGGAAAAAAAGTTTTTTTTTTTTTTTTATCCCATCATCCCATTTTAAAGTTAAACATGATTTATTGTATTCTTTTCAACCACCTTCTCTTCTTCAACATTCTTCTTCCTTTCTTTCTTTGAACATATAACCCAAGCCTCACCATCTAATTGATTAGAACTATTTTTCAAATTTCCACTTCCAACATTTCCATTTTGCCTACTACAATTATAAAATATAACATTCTTCTTCTCACTATCAAAATAAGTAATTATACAAGATATAAAAATATACAAGAAGACATTAATGACAAATTTAATTAAAGTTGAATTTGTAGCTTTCAATAAAATGATTTTTTCCGGTTTCTTTGAAATCAATGATAAATTTAAAATAAAAATTAACGCTGCCAAAGTAGCCGTCCAATAAACCGTAGATGATTTTAATGGACGTCGTGCGGACAGTACATTTGGTGTTGTGGTCGTTGAAGTAACGGTGTTGTTTGTTGTTGTCTCACATGTTGTTGGAGTTTCCACAGCAACGCGACGATTTCGATACAATTTTAGGTAGATGAGTTGAAATATCACGTAAATTACCATCGTCATCTCTAGGATCGTCTTTGGCAATTCTAGCTTCATAAGGGTTTGATTTGTAAGTAATAAATCACATTGTTTCGTTTGAACTTGATTATCTTGATTGGGGGAAGTCATCAGGATTGATACAGGTTGAACGAATATCAAAGTTGGAATCTACACGAGATAATATTCAAATAAACGCGTTGGTCATGAGGTAAGGTCACGGGTAAGATGACGTAATGAAAACTTGCGCAGCAAAAAAAAAAAAAAAAAGACTTACGAGCAATGAAGTCTGTATTAGGAGGAACGTGACACCAATCCAAAGATCCTTTCTCTCGGAAGACATTCGGTAAAGGGTCCATAACATGAAAGCGAAGAAAGATTCACGCAATAGATGATATGAAATTAAGTACATATATCCCAACGCTTTACAAGATGTAGAAGTTACGTCCGACGGAGTCATGAAATATCCGATTGAAAGTAAGAATCTACTCAAATTTCCGAAATTGCAAATAATTCGAAGTATATCTGATGTTTTCCCATAATTCCGAGCGAAAGATTTTTTTATGGAAAGAAAAGTGTTTTGAAAGGTTACCTAGATGTGATAAGAAGAAACTTGTAAATGAAGGGGATATAAACCGTATTAAAGAATTTCAAAAAAAGTAAGGTAAAAAGCCCTTACCACGGCCCCAAGACCAAGTAAAAATAACAAAAGGTAATTCTGCACAATTTTCTCCATCGTTTTGAATAATTAATTCACCTCGTTTGTAAGGAAAAAAAAAAAATTTAAAAATAAAATAAAAAGAGGCTAAAGGGAACAAAGAAAAAAATATAGCGCGAAAAAAAAAAAGTAATCTTACTTCTGAAACAAGAATCATTGTTTCTTTTATATTAAGCCAAGTGTATTTTTTTTTTTAAAAAAAAAAAGGTATCGTGCATACAATGTACAATGAAAGCTTCAATTCGTAATCGAACATGTTTAGTTTTAAATATGATAACGATAATAATAATAAATTCATTGTAAAATCACAATGAAATGGTTAAATATAAATCACCATAAAATAAATTTATTATATACTGCGCCTGTTATTTTTCTTTCTAGGCATCAATTCTATACTTATTATTGTTATAAATATTTATTGATTAGTGACAAATATCAAAAATAGACACGAATTCTATATTTATGATATTGTCAAAAAAGAAGAAATTCAAAAGAATTAAGTTAATCCCGGTCAAAAAAAATATAATAATGTATCTACATTATTTATACATGTAAAGGAAAGAAACAATGAATGCATGGTATAATCCAAATGAAAAATTAATAACGTAATATTTTTTACAAACTTAGAAATCTTAAAGCAATCGTTTTATTTAAACTTGTTTTGCGGTTATAATGATTATGCGTTTTAAGAAAAGAATGCTGATTATCAGTCTTTTAGTCAGCTGAAAAAAAGGGAATTTTGTATTATCTTCTAAACAAAGAATTATTAATATTCTCAAGTTGTGAAATTCTAGGAGAGAATGGATTAATAAAAACCCGACTATCAAACAATAGATAAATACAATATCTATGAATAGGAACAAAAGTAATTATAACCCTTCTATATATGGAGTTTTTATATTGTGGCGAGTTGTAAGATGTTGATTAGTCATGTTATGAAACTTGTTATTGTAAAAAGAAGTAAGGAATTTCCAAAAGTAAATAAATGGGTTAGTTACTTTACGAGAAAGAAATATTTAATGAGTCTCCGTTTCATGAGATTTTTGACACAAGTATCGTTATGCAAGATTTGACAGATCTTTGGTGAATAAAAAAAAAATGTGCGGGGAGTTTTAAAAAAAAACTTGCCGTGTATTTTTTTTTACATTTGCATGCTTTTTTTTTTTTTAAAAAAAAAAAAAGAATTGCAATTGTACCATTAACATTTTCGTTTCATGCAAAGAAAAAAAAATTTTTTTTTATGGTTGGGTTATATACATGCAGTATATGTAACGTGAATTTTTTATTCGTTCGAATTTTCGGAAAATAAATTCCGATCCGATTCAATCACGTTGACCATTTGTAAATTCGTCACATGGTAAATTTCGGCCAATGTACATAATGCCGGCCAAATGTCACGTGGATGAAAATTTTGCACGTGATATCAATTGTTTGGATTTTATTTCAAATTTCGATCAGCTAACCGTGTCATCTGCTTGATTTAGCTAAAGCTTTTTTGATTTAAAATTCTACAAAACGCCAAAATTTCTTTTTTTAAACCAAATTTTCCTTTTTGTTTGTAGTAATTTAAATACTAACATTTGATAAATAATAATTCTGTAATAAATTATTTAATCTTTTTGAAGTTTAAGTGTCACTTTATTTACCAATGCGTCACTTTTAAACGGCAGTTTGCAAATCATCTACAAAATTTTCTTTCTCAGTTTTAAATGAACAGTATGTCTAAGTAACGAACATTTTATTGGTAAGTTATGTCGATCATAAATTAAATCATGTGATCGCAATTTTTAGGGGTAGCGACCGCAGCTACATAGCATTTATAAATATTACTATAAATATCTTTCAGATTTAACCATCTTAAATTTTTTTTAAAAAAAAATTTAGCCGGATTCATTCTTATTCATCCAATATTACGAGAAAAATATTTCTTTGTTTCTGAAAGTATTTTAGGTTATAAGCACTTTATTGTAGAATAGAAATGAGTCAAGCAGCAGCGGACGCTACTGATAGGAACGTGGAAATATGGAAAGTTAAAAAATTGATCAAAAGCTTGGAAGCTGCTAGGGGGTATATTTTTAACTTTTATATTTTCTTGATATCCTCTTAATTTTTTTTGTCTTTATAACTCTATCTTACAAACGTATTTAATGGCTTTTCGTAGAAATGGAACTTCTATGATATCCCTAATAATTCGTATGTTTAACATTAAACTAAAGTTTGTAATAATTGTGCTTAAAGTATCTGATCAACTTAAATGCCTTATGCCTTATAGCACCCAAGGATCAAATTTCACGTATAGCTAAAATGTTGGCAGACGAATACGGTACGGCTTCCAACATCAAGTCTCGTGTCAATCGTTTATCTGTGTTGGCTGCGATTACTTCAACACAACAGAGACTAAAATTATACACAAAAGGTATACATTCTCCTTTCAATCTGCCATACGTGTAATCGAAATCTGTGAATTTTATCCTTATTCTAATGTATATTTTCTTTATGATTCAAGTCCCAACCAATGGTCTCGTAGTTTATTGCGGCACAATTGTTACCGAAGAAGGAAAGGAGAAGAAAGTTAACATTGATTTCGAACCTTTTAAGCCCATCAATACTTCCTTGTATCTTTGTGATAACAAGTTTCATACAGAAGCTTTGTCGGAGTTGCTTGAATCAGATAACAAATTCGGATTTATTATTATGGACGGTAACGGTGCCTTGTTCGGTACCTTGAGTGGTAACACTAGAGAAGTCATTCATAAATTTGCTGTGGAATTGCCAAAGAAACACGGTTTGTTTTAACTTTTTAATCATATTTAATTTTATATGATGCGATCAATTGAATTAACAATTATTCCGTTACAGGCAGGGGTGGTCAATCCGCTTTGCGTTTTGCACGTCTTCGTGAAGAAAAACGACACAATTACGTTCGAAAGGTCGCCGAATTGGCGGTCCAGTTTTATATTACTTCTGATAAGGTATATAATTTATATTTCATTCCTTTTTTTTAATTGAGAATTCGCTTCAATCATGTAATAATTTTGATTTAATCTTTAGGTTAACGTCACCGGTCTTATTCTTGCCGGCTCTGCTGACTTTAAGACTGAGCTATCTCAATCAGATATGTTTGATAATCGTCTCCAAACTAAGGTTATCAAATTAGTTGACGTTTCTTATGGAGGAGAGAATGGTTTTAACCAGGTATTTAATGGAACTAAATTAAAATTTTTATTTTTTGTTTTCCTAATTTTCTCATCATTATTATTATTGTAATAAGGCTATTGAACTTGCTGCCGAGAGTTTGGCTAATGTCAAATTTATTCAAGAAAAGAAACTCATTCAGAAATATTTTGACGAGATTTCTCAAGATACTGGAAAATATTGTTTTGGTGTTGATGATACTTTAAAAGGTCTGGAGTTGGGTGCTGTAGAAACTCTTATTGTTTGGGAAAATTTGGACGTTACTCGTTTTACCTTGAAGAATGCTTCTGGTGGTAAGTCTGAATCAATCTATTTTCTTCATTCTAAAGTGTGCATAATATTAATAATTATATTACGGATAATGATATCTAGTCGAAGTCATTATTCACATGACTAAAGAGCAAGAAAAGGATCGGAGCCATTTCATTGATAAAGAATCCAATTTGGAAATGGAAGTTTCTGATAGGATCCCACTTTTGGAGTGGTTCGCAGACCATTACAAGGATTTTGGTGCCAATTTGGAATTCGTTACCAATCGATCTCAAGAAGGTTCTCAATTCGTCAAGGGATTTGGTGGCATTGGCGGTTTGCTTCGTTATAAGGTCGATTTCGACACGTTAAATTATGACAGTGAAGAAGACGGTTTCCTTTCTGGTAAGTGGCAATCATAAAAATGAAACTCATGTTTAGTATATCAATTTGTTCTTTTAATTAACGTTCTGGATTAATTCATTTTAGATTGACAATATACTGTTGATCATCCAAAAAGAGGCGTAGAGGGGATCGCGACCGGCTGCGTTCCGGCCATCGGAGTTGTATTGCGTGGAGATGTCGTCATTTGTAAAATAAGGTATTTTTTTTTTTTAAAAAAAAAAAAAGCTAAACTTAAATTCGGTGTTCACAGACTATCATCCGGATATTTATTAAAATTTTTTTTTCATCATGTTTAGATAATGAGCAGTATTAAGCAAAATTTAAATCCATTTGCAAAAAAAAAAAAAAAAAAAAAAAAAACCAAAAAAATTCCCCCCAAAATTATCTTCTTTTTTAACGTGATCGTACCGGCCACCAACTAGAATGAATTAAATAATTATTATATTGCTCTTTGAATGTTATGTAATGTGGTTGTGATGTGGGAGTTTCGTTAATCCCCTCATGTCTCTTTGCTTTGGAAAGGCTTTGAATGATGCTTTATAATTAACATGTTATTTTAATGAATCAATTATGAATCAACAAATATATATGGCCACCAATAGCGATCAGCAAAATCATAGTCTCTTTTTGGAATCGATCATATTTTACTCTGCTTTTTGTTCTTTTAACCATTATTGATGAAATTAAATTTTCAGTTGGTTTTTCATTTACTTTTCATTTTTTTTCTTTATATCTTGGCTTTATTTTTTTTTTACCATTACCTAATAAAATTGTTCTTTCTGAGGGTCGAGTCAATTATTCAAATTATTTATTTTTCACTTTTATAAAAGCAAAGATTTAACTAAATATAAATTGCACTCTAAAAGTGCTCTAAATGATCCAAGAATTCGGGATAACAGTTTAAGGTAAAACCGTCCGTGTAGTGAATGGTTAATCGAATCATTTCATATTAACCTGATTCAATAAATTGAATTAGCTATAATAATCGATTAAACCGATCAACTTTTAAAAATTCAAAATTATCCCTTATTATTATTAAATCCAATTATACTAATATTAACAAAAGTTATTAAACCCTTAATATTATTATTCTCCAGGTGGAAAAATATCATTTTAATTTTCAAATATATCATATACGAAGGTAAGATCTAAACGTGTGCGAAATATAA